ATGTATTCTTGCGGTCATACAGCTTCTGTCTGGAGCGTACGAATTCTGATTGGTCGGCGCCATCGGTCTGTGGTTCGCGATCCCGAAGCTGCAATGTGTAGGCGCTTCGCTGGTGTCATCTGGGACGGTGGATTCATCACGGTTGTCCGGAAACTGTAATGCCTCGTTCCGTGCCTGGTGTTATCCCGTAGGCTATAGGTCACCACACTCAAATCCAATACGTCAAATTAAAAACTTGCTTTCATCATGAAACAAAAGCGTGGTGGGCTGTTCTTGATCGTGCTACCTCCTTAAAACGAGGCTTGTATGAAGTATGGAATGAGAACTATTTCACCCCTTTCAATCCGATAACAAACTATCGAATGACGGACCCAAGTGTGAATTGCAATACTTTCAAATTATCTAGGAAAATCATTCCTTTGGTGAGAAGTACTAGGTTGGTTACTGGGGACCCATGGATTGTGCAACGTACCTTCACCTACCTTACCCGATGTGACTATCAGGGTGAACGAATGAGTTTCCCTTTGTGCCAGCTCCCGCAATTTTGGGAACACTTGAAATGATGCAAATACAGTAGTGATCCGAGAAACTAATGCTGTCCCAGAATGTCAATTGTGAAAACAGGGGATTTTGGAACCTGTCGCATAACTGCAATCACCGGTGGTTGTCCCCGACACACAGAGCTTGAATTGGACGAGACGAATGTTCTGCAATCCTTCCGGTTTCCAGATTGGTCGGTCACTCTTGAACTATTCAGTAAACACATTGATACAATGACAAAAACCGAAAAAAACGGTGATCGAAGGCTGAAAAGCCACACAAGACACTGTACATGATTGCAAGGGACCCGTTGAAGAAGAAATGCTCTGCATTCGGTATCATCAATCAATGTGTTTGTTTCGTTGACTGGATGCATGCAACCCACCTGTCCAAATCTGTATTTGCCTAAAACAACAATTTTGGTTCGTTCCATTGGTCGATTCCATCAATCTAATCTACAAAACCAATCTGCGGCACGTACAAAACTGCGACCTTTGAACAGTTACACTTGTAAGGTTCGTGTTGTATGTTTGAGAATGGTAACCACTATCCTGCTTTAAAAGCAGCATTTCATCTACGACAAAAGACTGAGATTTTCGGACTATAGCCTGTGCATCAAAACACTGTTCGTTTATGAGCCACACAAGTGGAATATCGACTTCGACCAAAACTTCCCAAACTCAAGAATTTCAGATTTGTCGTACGCCACGTGGTGCCACACCATCAAGTAGGTGGTATGTATGTATTCCATTGGTTGCAGTTCGTGCAACCTGGCAACAATCGCAAATACGATGCGTTTATATCAAATTACGGAGCGCGCAGTCAGATGCCTCATTCGATTGCAATGGTAAAGGGATATATGAAGTATTTCTGGTTCACAATACCTTCCCACGTCCCAACTTCTAGTCAAGCTGGGCACGTCTGTGAAGTTTCTAATCCCCTAGGAAATCGTCAAACGAGTTGAACCGCCCACCATAACACGTCGTTTACATTCACATCCAGTTGTACAACACACTTGTGACATTTTGAAATGAACTTCAGCACGCTAAACAATAGCGCTCATTTACCTACTTCAACTAACTCCAGCATAACAAACATGTTACAATTCGGCACAGACCTCTTTCCCCTAAATGACAATAGCAAGTACAATCACTGTATGAGTTTGATACAGTCACTGCCAACTCCTGATGCACGTCAAGTCCCGTAGGTTCGATATCATGTGAACGGACTCAATTCTGCGAGCGATTTACTAGATATTTCAGCATTCAAAAAACCTCAACCAATGATAAATCAATATTAAATGAAAACATCCGCTCATGAGAAACTGTTTTGACTTGCAGCCTATACAGATTTGCAGAATGCTCCAACTAGTATTCGGTAAACACATCAAAATCCGTTTTGTAAGGACAGGTACGGGTAGAAAGTGCGTCAAACTACCAACTTGAAGTTTATGGATTAATTCACATCAGTAATATGTGACACGATTCGATTCGTTTGGAATTTCGACGCCAGTCCCAAGTATATGAGGGAGAATGAAAAACTGGTTGTCATAGATTGCAAAATGCGTTTTTTCCAACTGTGTAGGTGAATCATAAATTAGCAAAGATATTATTAGTTAGGAGAAGGAAAGTAATGATTAATGAAAATTAAACAAAATGGACATATCCAATACTAATTAATGGAACAAAGATGTGGATAGCGGAAGCAATGGATGGTGAGAATGGGATCAGCGAAAGCTGAACTGTGGCACACATCAAAATGATGGTGATGCTATTCCAACTACTAACAATGTTTGCGAGTAGCAACAAATAAAAACGATAGAAATTATAAACGCAAAGACCAAAAGTACTCGAATGACGTGAGCACAAACGAAACAGTTTGCTGCGATGACGCAATGATGCCAGAATGAATGGTGCGGGCGGGCTGACTGGCGAGCGAGATGTGGCAAATAATGAAAAACAATAGAAAAAATGAATGAATAAGAAATTGAATAATGCCCAATTGTTTCTCATCCGGAAAGCAAAGCAGCGGAACCATCATGTTATGACCGAACGCAAACACATGGGCCCAGACAAATGTGCTCACGAACTGTGTGTGGAAATTTGAGAGCCTATTTATGATGCGAACAGTGTGTGTGTGTTTATGAATGTCATAGGAGTCACGATGATAGAACACTGTTCGATAGTCGGGTAGTGAATGTAAGCCAAACGATGGACAGACAGGGTGCAGAAAAGTTTCAATATGAAGTAGAGACAAAGCAGCCTGACGGATTAAGATTGAGGCAAACACTGGGGGCTTCATCAGGCACAGGGAAAATTGGGTTTGTGCGCATCGGATAAAAAGCGAGCTGAAAACAGTGTGGAACAGAACCGAGGAGAAATGCATAGATCAAAGCGTCTGCGCGGTAATGAGTTGTAACAGTAGAAATTACGCGCTGACAGTAACTGAGGCTACAAACACAGGTCGCGGTTGTTAGAGGATGAAGGACAGAGAGGCTAGTTCCTCACTGTCCCTCAAATTGTAGGTAGTTGATCAACCGGGTCCTATTGGAGTCCCGCTGTCCAGGATGAGTGTGTGTAAACCAACGCCGGCTGGTCCGGGACTGACCAGTAGCTTCAAAGTAGCATCACGAGAGCAACTGGGAGAAAGTATATTACACGTGGACTTTTGTTCACCAGACCCGGTCGATTGCATGATTCGTTGACGAACTTCCCGAATTTTTAGTTGCAATGTTTGGCGATTGGGAAAATAGTTCGCATGCCGCTGTTGGAATTCAATGGTAGTGGTAACTGAGTGGGAAAAAAAGATCAAAACAACGAAAACAATATGAGTAACTGAATTAGTAATTCCTTTTAACATATAAAAACAAAAGATGAACCATCGTGAACGCGCAGTACGATACACAGGAAACGCAAAGGAAGTTTGCGTGCTGAAATATTTATTCAAAACCATTACGTGAAGGATAGCACAGTACGGGCAAACCCCATACCCACGAGAATGTACCGTTCAGTTCAGTCAACCACCTGAGACTCCAAGAGAACAAGTGTGCTATCGAATGGGAAGACAGCGAGGCAGATTTTTGAACCTCGGATAACACAGGACCCAAAGAATGTCAAAGTGAGTGAAGAATCAAGTCAGAGGTTACTGAGACCAAGACGCTTAATTTCAGCATGAGGTACCAAACTATACACGCCAATATTGATTGTCAACAATGAGAAGGCACGAGAAGACACGGTCAAGGTATTACTAAATGCGGCCCTCCTTCTCATCGCAATTCATACAAAATCAGTGACAAAATTTAAGATGGACAGGGATTGGATCTATTTTGAGGGCGGAAGAAGAAAGTCAGCACACAGAGTACGCAATCGAACTCTGCATTCTGACCTGATAAGAAACGACAACAAGAATGCCACTACTGCCGGTTCGCTGCCATATCCTTCAGTGTCTCCAACCAACCAGTTATGGAGTCTTTCGGACCCCAACCTGGAAGGCGAGAGACACCTACTCTACCTAATGTTTCTGTGCATTTCTTCATGCTTCGTTTCCACGTCATCTGTTGACCTCCGTGTGGTTTCCTCCAGCCCGGAATAGCTACACCGAATAAAGTGCGGTGCGGCA